CTCGGTGTCTACAATTGCATCCTGCTCCAATCTTCATCCAGGAGATTGGGGCTTAACTCCTAGGGCTGGAGAGATGCCTCGGTGTCTACAATTGCATCCTGCTCCAGTCTTCATCCAGGAGATTGGGGCTTAACTCCTAGGGCTGGAGAGATGCCTCAGTGTCTGCAATTGCATCCTGCTCCAATCTTCATCCAGGAGATTGGGGCTTAACTCCTAGGACCCACATTGGCAGCTCCTAACCAGCTATAGCTACAGATGGTGAGTCTGGCTCTTCTGGCCTTGATGGGTGCCCACAATCCTGGGCACATGCACACAAACACACACATATACAGAAATTCATAAAATATAAATAATCTTTGAAAAAAAACAACAAATAATCGCTTCCCCTCACAAATCCCTCCTCGGAACAGACAGTTCCCTTCCATATGGGTACCAATCTCATCCCCCAGCTGTTACCCACTGTATAGACACTGAAACTCCTCTGGGCCATCTATTCTGGGCAGCAAGGCTGGTGGCCTTTGAACTCAGGATGCCTGGTCCCTACTGTAATGTTAAGTTGGGAGCATCACCCCAGCCCCTGGCATCCATTCCAGACCCCTGGACCCCAAATCCCAGCATGCCAGGTCCTGACCCCTCCCCGGGGTATTTAAGTGGGTGCCCAGAAGAGGAACATGTGGTCCCGGATTTTGCACGTGCTCCCTACTTTTCTGTCTCCCCTGCCATGCTCTCGGCCACCCGAGAGTGCTGCATTTAATAAAATATGGGCATTTTAATTCAGTTTGATTTGACCTGATTGGATTTCTTTGCACCAGCGAAGCGGCTCGTCTTAAGATTTTTTTTCCTCACACCTGCTTTGCTGGCCTTGGTCCCCTCTTGAGGCTTCTGGTTTAGATCTCCCTGCCGCTAGTTGGATGCCCCTTGATGTCTCAGCACTTGATTCCACCTTTCCTCCTACAATGACCACACACACTGGGAGTTTCCACTCCCCAGCTTCTGCCCTGTTGGTGCGCCCTAGGGACAGTGAGGCATGGCAGAGGGGACTGCCTTGGTCTTTATGGGCTACAGATATCTGCTCACTCTTCCTTCCTTTCTTCCTTCCTTTCTTTCTTTCATTTTTTGAAACAGGGTTTCTCTGTGTAGCTCTGGCTGTCCTGAAACTCACAGAATCACCTGCCTCTGTCTCCCATATGCTGGGATCAAAGGTGCCAGCCCCCAGCCTCCAGCCTCCAGCCCCCAGCTCCCAGCCCCCAGCCTCCAGCCTCCAGCCCCCAGCCTCCAGCCTCCAGCCCCCAGCCATCTCTTGCTTCTTTTCTTTTCTTTTCCTTTCTTTCTTTCTTTCTTTCTTTTTTGTTTGGTTGGTTTTTTGAGACAGGGTTTCTCTGTGGCTTTGGATCCTGTCCTGGAAATAGCTGTTGTAGACCAGGCTGGCCTCGAACTCACAGAGATCTGTCTGCCTCTGCCTCCCGAGTGCTGGGCATCTCTTGCTTCTTACCAAAGGGCCTCTACTCTGCTGGCTCAAGCCCCAGGCAGACATCACTGTTGTGTTTATACTTTAAACCTTTCTAAGAGAGCCTCCAGCAGAAAACCCAGCTCCGTGTTCCATGTTAAATCTGTGAAATCTCCCCAGTGTTGAACTGTAAAACCAGAGACAGAAACAAGCTGCCTGGAAGGCCTGATAGCCCAACTATTCAAGAGGTAGGGGCAAGAGGATCCCAAGTTCAAGGCCAGTGTGGACACCTTAGCAAGATTATGTCCCAAAATAAAGATGGGGAAGTGGCTCCCTGGAAAAAGGCCCTTGCTGTCATTCTGAGGACTTGCGTTCCATCCCTGGGACCAGCATGATGGAAGGAGAGAACCAACTCCACAGAGTTGTCCTCTGACCTCCATATGTGTGCAGTGACAGTCACAAGCCCACACACGTGTACAAGAAAGAAATAAACATAACAAAAATTTTGTAAAGGAAAGAGAAGGCTGGGGTGTGGCTCAGTGGTAGAGCCCCTGCCTAGAATCCCCAGTGAGGGGTTGGGGTGTGGCTCGGTGGTCCAGCCCCTGTGTAGAAACCCCCAGTGGGAGGCTGGTGGTGTGGCTCAATGGTAGGGACTTGAATAGCATCTGAGAGGCCCAATGTTCACCAGAAAAAGACAAAGCACCCACAGAGATTACCAGGTGGGGGGAGTTTTCTATAAGCAGGCACAGGAGCCCGAGGCTCAGGTTCTCGGTCCTAGACTTTCTCCCAAGGGTGTGAGGGACTCCCCAGTAGCGCTCACTAAGCCTCTGTGCTTCAGAGGACCGCATACCTTCTATGTCCCTCCTCCCCACCTTCCTTATACCCAAATTTGTGGAAGGAGAGATTTTGCTTTATGTGACTGAGATCTTGGCTTCACACTAATTATGTCCAGCTGACCTTTGGCGACCTCTTACTTTCTCAGGCTGAGGCTCTCAACTCTTTGGTGGATGCTGATCGGCCATTCATCTGACTCCCTCTCACCTGGTCAGCTCACCAGGAAGATCAACTGCAGATAGGGGCAGATAGGCTGCTAGCGCGGATGAAAAACCCGGGCTCCCTGCCACCTGCTCCCTGCCCACCTTCTACTTCGCTGTCCTCTTATCACCTCCTCCCCTTTCTTAAAAGGTCCTCATGTGGCCTAGCCTGGTCTTGAACTCACGCCGTAGCCAAGGGTGATGGTGGCCAGAGCGTCACACACTGAGCCATGCCCCCAGGCTTGCTCTGTCATTTAGGGTCCCCCAGATCCACAAGAGGCCGTGAGGCTTCATCCATATAAGGCACGCTAATGACCAATGCCATTATCTAGAACAGTCCAAGGGCTGCATCTTGCCGGCTATCCTTTAGTCCAGATTAAATCCTGGACAGTTTGCATCACATGACCCATATCTAGGACAGATAATGGCTCACCTGTTCTTGTTCAAGAGGCTTAAAAGTGGAATCATTTGTTGCCTCTGGCGTGTGGTAGGATGAGGTGCTGCTCTTTGCCCTATGGGATTCCGTTGATGCCCTCTGCCCACCACGCCTGGCCCCTCCTGTAGTCCTGACTCATCCCAAGATCAAAGGTTTCCTAATCTCATTCTTCAGTTCATTCATTCATTCATTCATTCATCCATTCCTGGTCACTGTTCTCACGAGTTCCCTGTGCCATGGCTGGCTGTCATGGTGCCCAGGACAGATCTGAAGAAGGACCCTGATAGTCGGGGTTCTGTGTACCCCTCACTCCCTCTCCCCTGCAGGAACCCTAAACAGCTGAGGTCTGAAATCCAAAATTACATCTTCAACCCCGACAAGCAGTTTGACCAGTAAAAGGGAGCACAGAGATTACCAGTGAAGAGGAAGGACCAAGTGCTCAGGCCCAGAGGTGGGCTGTGGGCATGGGGGTGGGAGAGGAGAGGCACAGGGGCTCAGTTTGCTCAGATGCACCGGGAGAGCAGAGCTGGGATGTGGGGAGCCGAGGGGGGTGGGGGTGGGGGGGTGGGGAGCATACCTGTCTCCACCTCAAATCAGATCCATCCTGTCCTGATTTCTATTAGTTTTTTTTTTGGAGCAGGAAATTCCTTCTAAACAGAACAATTCTAAGCTTTAAAGAGCGTTGGAGGTCATTGCCCTGCGTGCTGCGGAACCATAGAAAACACTGAAGCAGGGGACAGCGGTGGACTTGGGGTTTAGAAATGAAGTTTCTGGGAGTCTCCACAGAGGAAAAAAAAATCAAAAAACTGGATGTGCAAAGGTACTAGGGCAGGGAAGAGTGGGGTGTGACCAGGGAACCTGAAGTCGTGGGGTGAATGGAATGTAGTAGGAGAGGAGGAGAGTGCCGGGGTGGGGGTGGGGCCGGATGCTAGGGAGTCACACCGCGGCTGTCAGGGTGGGTGAGGCAGCTCTGGGACCACTGGGGTCGGCAGGCTGGGACGGGGTGTGGTGTGGGGACTAGCAAGCCCCGGAGACACACGGGAACACACGGAAAGCCGAAAGCACTGAAGCCTATATCCAGAGTGACGGTCGGTACTGAGGTGCAGAGAGAGAGAGAGCGAGCAAGTGACCGACATTCAACTGCAGAGAACAGTCATTCCAGGGACCCGGTGACCCGGCTAGGAAGAAGCACAGCGCCAGGTCGGGCTGAAGAGAAGCACAGAGAAGAATGTGGAACCAAAGCTGAGGGCCCCAGGGATGCTAGCAAGCTTGTCTAGGTCACACAGCAATCAGGGTTCAACGACCTGGACCCCGGAGTCTGGGTCCCTTAATGCCTCTCCACACCCTGGCAGGGGAAGTGAAGCAACCAAGGTGGGGACAGGACTTAGCTGCTCCTCCTGCCCCCGCCACGTACCCCCACACGCATCCCAGGGTACCAGAGCGTCCCGGGAGGGCGGAAGAGTGTAAAGAGTTGGTGATGAGGGCGGCAGTTCACTGTGTGATCTGAGGAGGCTGCGAGCCCTTTCTGGTCTTTCGGCATGCTTAGCCAAGAAGTGAAGCCAAGGGAAGGGGTGTGGAGCGGTTACAAAGGCTCCGGGAGAAGGGGCTCTGTGATCAGGACACTTCCCCGACCAGCCTCAATTTCTCCGTCTGGTAAGTGGGTACTCTCTGAGTGCTTGACTCATCTCCAGGAACAGAGGAACTATGTGCACTCCCTACACGAGGAGCAAGGTGGGCCCTAATCTCTCTGGGTTCTCTTGGCGTCCAAGACCCATTTTCCCCTCCGTGAGCATCCCATGCTCCCTGTTGTCTCCCAAATGGAGTAGGCACACGTGAGAAGTGGGCTTTTTTTGAGAGTCCCCAGCTGATGCAGGATCCATCAACCTTGGTCTTTCAAAGCTTCTGGAGACCAGGCTCCCGGTTCCCCTTACCCAGTTTAGGTTAGCAAAGGTCCCAGCCCCCGTCCCACGACAGAACAAACGGAGCATGAGAGAGGCATCCCATGACTGAATCCAGTGAGGGTCCCTCCCTGGCCAAGGCCTGACCCCACCCTCCCCAGGCCCTGGCAAGCACGCCGCCTCACCTAATTTCGGAGATACTGTTCTCGAACTTGCCCCACAGGGCCGGGGGCTGTGGCCCATCCATGGCGGGCAGGGCAGGAGCTAGCCGGGCGTGCGTCGGGGCCAGGTGCGCAGCGTCTGCCGCGCCTGCCAGTGCCAGGTGCCTACCAGGCCGGCCCAGGGGAGGGGCACAGCCGGTTCTCCCAGCTGCTGCCCACGCCTCCTGCCGGCGGCAGGGAGGGAGAGGCTGGTGCCCTCCCAAGGCGAGGGTGGAGGCTCCACGCGACCGGAGTCCAGGGCCAGCTGTGGGGATTTCCGGCTGTACCCCAGTGGCCTGGTGGTGCCCAGCTTGTGCCCCGTCTCACGCCAGCGGCCCTCTTCGTTTTGAAGGTTTTGCTCAGCACCTCCTGTCCGTGTGCGGCTCTGTTGAACACTCGGCATGCTGGAGAAGGGCAGTGTCCACCTTGTGGGCTGATTTTGTAAGAGACAAGAGACAGAGGTGCATCCAGGGCAGGACAAAAGGAAAGGGACAGAGAGACACACAGAGATCATCAAAGACAGGGAGAGAGAGAAACAGTGAGAAAGACAGAGACATGCACAGACGGTCGGAGACAGAGAGAGAGAAGCACGGAGGTAGAGACAAGCAGAGACACAGAGAGACAGAGACACTTCCCACAAGCTTTGCCTGTCTCACAAGGACCGGTCTGCTGCGTGTGTATCAGCTGCAGCTTCCCAAGGAAGAGCTTGAGGTGCTGTGGGCTTGTTGGTGGGCTAAGTCACTCACTGCCCAGAGACAGGAGCCAGTGGCAGGGTATGGGTGCCAGGGGCCAGCGGAGTCTCCGAGTACGGAAGGCAGTGAGCAGATTCAGAACTTACAAGAGGGCATCAGACTCCTGAGGGGCACAGGGAGCAGCCTCAGGCAGTGACGGATGGGAGGGACGTTAATGGAGGCCACTAGATCGCAGATGTGGAGGGGGTCGTGGGTACTCAGGCACAGGGAAGAGATTTGAAGGTGCACACAGTAGCGGAGGAAGGGACCTCACACCGCCTGGGGTGGATGGAGGAACAGAGGCCCAGCGAGAGTCTCCCCCAGCCAGGCACCTGCTTCCTTGTGAATACAGTTCCTTCTCCGGAAGGGTTCAAGCCCCAGAGCCCTTTGTTGCTGGGATTATGAGGGTGGAAACTTAATCCAGCCTTGATGTGGAGAGGCCAAGCCTTTGGGAAGTGATTAGGTGAGGTTAGGTCACCGAGGTGGAGCCCCCTCCCCCCACATCCAGGTGGCTTTAGGAGAGGAAGACACCACACATCAACAGGACAAAGAACTCAGCGCAGGCGCCTGCACACACCTGCCGCGAGAGGTGCAGGCATGAAACCACATGCATAAGACTGTGTAGACCTGGTCCTTCCAGATCCGGGAGCCCAAACCAACCTTTTTCCTTCCAAAGCAGCCTGACTCTAGTATTTTCTTCTATTAATGAAAAGCTGACTAATACACACGCATCTAATCACAGATTCCTCCCGTCACACGGTGACCCGCCCTTTCCCCGGCTCATTTACTCCACCCACTCATGAATCCATCCTCCCGTAGATTCCTACCTTCACCTAGCCACACTCTGATGTACTGCTCACTTATCTATCGACACACCTCCCCCACCCATCTGTCCATCCATCAAGATATGTGCATTATGTCCACAGTCCACAGCAGCACCCAATACCCATCCCCCATCCGTGCACTATCCATCGGTCTGCACACTGATACCCTCGATCATCGATCGACTAACTTACCTGTTCATCACCCACACATCCACCATCTACCTTCTACCGCTCTATCTGTTCACCCAGCTCCCCACCCATTTGCTCATGAGCCCATTTTAATCCATTTATTCATCCATCCATCCGCTAATCTCTCACCCACCCATCTCTCACCCACCCATATCCAGCTCATCCACCACTCACCCCTACCACGCACTGATACACCCAGTATTAGTCCATCCACCCACTCACCATCCATCCGTCCATCCGTCACTCCCACACATCCCCTGACCCACCTATTCATCTATCAGCTACCCTTGATGCATGCATCCATCCACTGAGCACATACGCAGCCACCCACCAATGCATCCATTTATTCACACATTCATCTACCTGCTCTCGATGCAGTTCCTCTACTCTGTGCCCACTCATCTAACTAGCCACCCACATACCTACCAGGCCCTCGACCCATGTATCCATTCACCCAACCACCTATCAATAAATCCATCCTTAGCCAGATGATGGTGGTGCACACCTTTAATCCCAGAGGCATGAGGATCTCTTTGAGTTAGAACTCACAGCCCAGTCTACAGAGTGAGTTCTGGGACAGCCAAAGCTACACGGAGAAACCCTGTCTCAAAAAACAAAAAAAAAAAAACAAACAAAAATTAAAAAATTATCCATCCTCACACTCACTGACTTATCCACCATCCATCCTCCCACTCAGCCAATCCACTCCCATCCATCAATCGTTTACCCTCAATGAACCACCCACCCAATCATCGTTCATCTGATCACCACATTCTCATTCAGCCATCTACCGTTCATGTTCTACTCACCCATCTGTCCACCACCCATGCCCACCCCACTGCACAATCCTCCCATCCATCTACCCATCCATTCGCAGGACTGCTAGCCTACCGTCCTCCCCTTGTCCGTCTTTGTGCTCACCCCTCCAGTCACAGACCCAATCAGTCATCCGCATCCATCCATTTAGACATCAATCTTTTTTCAAATTCCGTCTTATTGCACGGTGTTTTGCTTGCATTTATATCTGTACTTGATGCCCAAGGAAGCCAGAGAAAGCATCAGATGTTTGTGAGCCACTGTGTGGGTGCTGGAAATTGAATCCTGGTCCTCTAGAAGAGCAACAAGTGCTCTTTACCAGGGAGCCACCTCTCTAGCCCTGGATTTCAATGTATTAATCCAGACACACACACACACACACACACACACACACACACACTCACACATACACACACATACACACACACACACACACACACACATCTATCTGCCCATCTATCAACACACGCCACCCACCTATTCACCTCTCTACCCTTACACATCCACCCCCCTGCCTGCCTTCAGCCAGTCTCTGGAGAGGCCCACCGCGAGTCAGGTAAGGAAACATGGCGTTGAGCTAATCTGACTACTTGGAACTGAAAATGAAGTCCACGTGGCTAAGAAAATAAGAACTTTCCATCTATTTCTTTCAATTAATTTAAATAGCAGCACACTTTGGGGGAGATTGCATGCCAATTAAACCATTGAAAATTGGGCACTAGGGGCTGGAGAGATGGCTCAGAGGTTAAGAGCATTGCCTGCTCTTCCAAAGGTCCTGAGTTCAATTCCCAGCAACCACATGGTGGCTCACAACCATCTGTAATGAGGTCTGGTGCCCTCTTCTGGCCTGCAGACATACACACAGACAGAACATTGTATACATAATAAATAAATATTTTAAAAAAAAAAAAGAAAATTGGGCACTAGAATTGAAAGCACAAGACCTGTAGACTGTCTCAATAAATTGGCATGAATTGCATGTTGAAATGATTTAATTCAAGGTACCTTGGATTAAATAAGTTGCATTTCCAAAATTAATTTCACCTATCTTTTTTCAAGTTTCAAAGATAATTTTGAAGATTTTATTTATTTTTTTAAGTTATATATGTGTGCCTGTCTGTGTTTGGGCATGTGCACAAGACTACATGGTTGCCCAAGGAGGTTAGAAGAGAGCATTGGATCACCTAGGCCCGAGTCACAGGTGCTGGTGCTGGCACTGAACTCCAGGCCTCTGTGTGCCCTTAACTGCTGAGCCTTCTCTCCAGCCTCTTTCCACTTTAGAAACTACGTTGTTGTGGTGCCACGGGATGGCTCGCTGGTTAAGAGCATGCACAGCCAGATGTAGTACATGCCTTTAACCCGGCATTTGGAAGGCAGAGGGAGGTGGATCACTGCGGGTTTGAGAGCAGACTGTCTATTGTTTACATATTCAGTTCCAGGACTACACACAGAAACCCTGTACAGAAAGAAAAGAAAAGAAAAAAAAAGAAAGAAAGAAAGGAGGGAAGGATGGGGAGAGTTCTCAACACTTGTCAAGAGGCTCACAACCACCTTTGACTCTGGTTCCCGGGCATCTGACGCCCTCTTCTGGCCTCCAGAGGCAGTGCACCCATGTGCACAAACTCACACATAAACCTAAAAATAACTTTTTGTTTGTTTTTCAAAACAGGGATTCTCTGTGTAGCCCTGGCTGTCTTGGAACTCACTCTGCAGACCACACTGGCCTCAAAGTCACAAAAATCTGCCTGCCTCTGCCCCTCAAGTGCTGGGATTAAAGGTGTGTGCCACTATGCCCAGTAATAAAATATGTTTGAAAGGCACTAGGAACACGGTGTGGTAATGCACACCTGTGATTTCACATTCTGGAGCCTGGAGCAGCAGTGTCTCGATTTTGAAGTCAGTATTTCCTATAAAGAATGAGGCCACAAACCGGGCGGTGGTGGTGCACACCTTTAATCCCAGCACTCAGGAGGCAAAGGCAGGCGGATCTCTGTGAGTTCGAGACCAGCCTGGTCTACAAGAGCTAGTTCCAGGGCAGGCACCAAAGCTAGAGAAACCCTGTTTCGAAAAAAAAACAAAAAATAAAAAGTCCTCACAGAGAATGAGGCCACAAAAGTGATCCCAAAGCTTTAAAAGTTATTTGATGGGGGCTGAGAAAGCAGCTCAGGAGTTAAAAGCACTGGCTGCTCTTGCAGTTCTCAGTGCTGACTTGGTAGTTCACAACCACCAGCAACTCTAGTTCCAGGGAACCCGATGCTGTCTCCTGACCTCTGAGGGTACCAGGGACATCCATGTACACAGCTGTACATGTGGACAAAAAGCTCATATGCATAAAACAAAATAAATAAATCTTTTTAAAAGCTGTGTGATGGATAAGCTAGGAAACAGCTCAGTTTATAAAGTACTTTTGCTGGGCAAACATAGAGACATGAATTTGGACTCTTACAACCCAAGTAAAAAGCCGGGTCTGGCAGTGCATGCCTGTTGTGGTCTCCAGCACTGAGGTAAGCGGCTGGGGCTTGC